AATGAATTTAGCGGGGTTTTCGGGGACGACTGGTCAAAAGCAGCAGGCATGGCGAGTTTCCATGCCTCGAAGCCCTACGTGCACGGGGAAACCTGTGGCCGTATTCGTCGAACACCATGAGTGTCTCGGCATGAAAAACACCATCGTAGCACCGGGGGTAACCAATCCGCCCGGGAGTGGTGGTGCTCACCAAAACACCGAGGGCCACTCCGCTCGGGAGAGGTGAGAACCCGGGCGGGGGCGAGCTTGCTTGCCCTGCGCTCCGGCTAGCTGTCTGCGGGATCGGTCGCACTCGAAGACGATAGATAATTAATTTTTCTAAGAAATGTACACGTGCGTGGTGCACGTGGCAATGGCACGTGGCAATGGCACGTGGCAAAAGTGGCACGTGGCACATGCTCTGAAATTCCGAGAAAAATGCCAATTAATAAGTATTTGATCCACCGCGAAATGCCGGCGAACCCAGGTGCGCACTTCGGCAGAAAAGAAAGGCACTCCTCGGCGACGTCTCCTGATGCGTAATTTTCGAGAAACGAGTACAAAGGCGCGGACCGCTCCGTTTGACGGCGGGTACCGGCAAGTGCCGGCGCGACATCGGTATCGGCGCGCGGCGTGGCGGCGCGGCGGCTCGGCCGCAAAGGGCGGGCGGCATCGCGAGGATCGGTCGTAGATGGATGACCGCGAAGCCAAGGTCGACGGAGGGCACGTGGCAGATTTCGAAGAAATCGGGTGGTTGCTAGGAGACGTCGCAGGGGAGTGAAACGTATAAAATAAGCGAGGGCACCGGGCCCGCGCTTCATTTCCTTCATTCTCTTATATTTGTTGCTACGCGCTTCATTCTTTATATTTGTCGTTACGAGACTTCTCTTATAATTTGTCGCTACGGACTTCTCTACTTCCAGATTTATTTCGTATTTGGCATTACGGATTATACTTTATATCTTGTTGTTACGGGACGTACTCGTTTGTAATTACGGACCTTACTTATATTTTGCAAAGACTTTCGTTGCGGGATCAAGTATTTAGGCATTGGATTGTAATATTGATGTCACTCGCAGACTGAATTATAATACGTGTGTTATATAATAATCGAAATAAACTGTGCGTATTCACCGTCGGAAAAATTGAGTTGTTCTGATACATTATTGGAGTAGCGTTATTACCCAGAAAAATATTTTTATTTTGTTATTATTACCTGTCAATTTCACTTTCAGATGCATCACAGTTATAAGTATCGTTGAAATTTTTTTGAACAAAAAGATGTATTATTCAATCTTTCGAATAAAACAAATTGCAATTCGTAAATAATTTTCAAATGATAGTGAAAATGTTAAAGGATCAAATTGTTGTCAAAACCAAAATCGTGTTGACTTTTTAGATTGATCTGCATCACATTCTCACATACTATATTAAGGTTACTTATACCACTAATATTATACAATTTGTAAGTTTTTGCAGTATTGGCATATTACGAAGGTTTACCTTAGTCAAATTTCACTACTTGCAAAATATATACATTTTTCCAATACCGTTAATCAGTCAAACTTCCATCGCTCAAATATAAGGGAAGTTTAATTATTTTAATTATAGATTCTATACGGATAAAAATATCATATTAACTTTTATTTGTTACTATGATCTCCTTTTTTCAGAGATGGACTTGCCCTACTTTTAAAATAAACGGCTAATATATCACGATTTTAATCAGTCGATTGTGGATAAGAGAAACCGTGAATACGGAAGTTCTGTTTTATAAACTACATATTATGACTTGCTATGGAAATCAGAATAATCCATCGCATGGTATACAGAGTAAATAAAATTATGTTTCCGAATAACTTTAAAAATTTAATAGAATACATAATTAATGAAGAATAAAAATTATAAAGATTAATACATTATTTTCTGATAAAAGCATGTATAACTTTCTAATTCATGGAAACATAAGGGATTTAAAAACTAACAATGATTAAATAATTCTGAAAAATAATTCCCTATTTAAAATAAGTTTTTTGAAGTAACACCTTCTGTTCACTTATTTAGAGGTGTCAATAATAAAGATTCATAATTAATAAATTTCATATGATCTCTAGCTATCGAATATTATCTCGAGTGCAAAGAGTATTATTGTCAAATAGAAATACAATTGTTATTATCAGGTATCATTAATAAAAAAATATGTGAGATATTACATTCTTTAAAATCATTTTTTGATTTAAAATAATTATTCTAGAAAATAATTTTTTGAAATTATTTTTTATTTTATGATAAAATTTTGCTTTAAAGATTTTATAATATGTTCTTAACGAGTATTTAATTCAATTTAATTTGTTAAAAGATGTATTCCTGATTATTCTGAAAATTAATTCGAATGGTTTAATTAAATAATAATGACCAGAACTTACCTTCATACCGTAGGTTTCAGTTTCATTATCAAAATACATTTCGAATATTATCGAGGCAGCCTCGTTAGGAATATGTGGCGACCACAAATCCAAACTTTTCAAAACACCTATAATGTTCCTCTCGTTTCCACTGTACATCATGAGCTTTCTTTTTTTCGATATTTTTCCACTAATATACGACAATGAATTTGTTAAAATTTCTTTCAAGATCGTCCCTCCGTTTAATTGTTTTTGCAGAAGAGTTTGCGAAAGGAGGTCATACTCCAACAAGGACACGTTATACATCTCTCCATGGGGAAATACGTCACTCGCCCAATATGGAAGCGTCTGATTCAGATCTGCCTGTTGTTAATATTCATTTTCACTTAAATTTTTAAATAGCAAAATATATTGCAGAAGATTACAAATTATTATACGTATAAATAGATCACTTTTTAAATCAAAATTTGAATTTTGTTAACATAATTGAGTCAGAATTCAGTGAGAATGACTCTGTGATCATTAAACTATTATCCAACTTGTATCTACTAATTGAATGTTAGTGTAATTTTCTACTAGGCATGGTTCGCAGTACTGATTGATAACTACTTGTGAGAGCACAGTACACAAACTGGTACAAGTGCAACATATTTGTGGGCATTGATAAATAGAACATTTTGTATATGAAAACTGTTTATATTCAAATCTTTAAATTTCTATATTTTTAAATTTCCATGTTTCTATATCTTCAAATTTTCAAACTCTTAAACTTCTACATTTACTTCTACGTCCACACTTCTAAATTTCTAAATTTATATAAGCTCAAATTTCTAATTCTTACATTTTTAAATCTTTAGAGTTAAAAATTTGGATAGTTTTGTAAGTTTAAAATTTTTTAATTTAAAAATACAGTAGGGAAATCGTGCTATATGAAATTTTTCTCACGTACGGTATACATTGTATAATCTAAAGTAACATATTTGAAGTGATTATTGCTGTATCCAATTTTATTTTCTATGTTATATCGAATAGAACGGTATTTTAAAAATAAGTGGTATACAGGGTGTTACCTGTAACGCTACTCACGATTTTTTTCCCACTTGCAGCCACCTTACGAAAAAATGTTTAGGACAATATTTGCAGGGTGTGAAGTGCACAATAGATATTAGTAAAGCAAATTTTTAAAACAGTTTGTTCTCTTGGCAAAGTCAAGGTTGGGTTTTTTAAATAGGAACATACATTTTTTTTTATTCATAGCTTTAGAGGACATCGAGACGAATTCAAAACATATATTACATGATATTTTTACTAACATATTACACGATTTACAGAAGTGGAAATGTGAAGTAAAAGACCGGAATATTACGCGATGGAAGACGGCATACATTTTGAACATGTAATTAAAGTGTATGTTTCTTACATTCTAGTCGCGTGTTTACATTCAGTAATCTCTTTGGAACCAAATAATGGTTACACTACCAAAGTCAAAAGCTAACTACTTAACATTTCCACTTCTGTAAATCGAGTAATATGTTAATAAAAATATCATGTAATATATGTTTTGAATTCGTCTCGATGTCCTCTAAAGCTATGAATAAAAAAAAAT